GCGTCCTCGGCGTCCTCGGCGAAGGAGGCTTGCTCAGCACCGTCCAGGGGCTCACAGGGTAAGGACGTGCGGCGCACAGCGCTCTGCAGAGGGAGCAACCGCTGAAGGCTGCTTAGGGGCAGCGACAGTGGTATTTCAGCGGGTGCTCAGCGCTGGTTTACAGCTGGTGCTTCTCCGGCATGACCGTTGCCCGTAAATCTACCTAGATTTGCATTGCCAGCTGCAGAACAGTCTCTTGAGCTATGCAAGGAATGGCTAAAGGTAGCTGAATAACGCTGCCCGCAGGCAGCGCGCTGGGCCGTACGTCAGCCCTGGGGAGCAGGTCCACGGTCTCCAAGCCAGTGCTCAAGTTGCTGGGAAATTTCCCACTGTAACTCTTGATTACTTGAAACACAACACTGGGCAGAAGAACATGCGGTAGCAAAGTGAACAGACCAAAGCACCTAGTAAAACCAGAGCATAACCTAAGAAACCCTGGTGGCTCTTGTCATGCCTTATCTGGACGGGCTGGGGCTTGCCCGTCCCGGGAGCGAGCCACGAAGCCGTGGGGCCGGCCGGAGCGCTCCGTCCCCCTGTTGTCGTGTGCTGCAGGCTGCGCATTGTTGAGCTGACACTGCCCAGGGTGTCCCTGCGGCTCCTGCCTGGTGTCGGCATCCACCTCAACCTCTACACCAGGGCGGCCATCAGTGCCAAGAGGTAGGTGAAGACCCTGGTGAAGGCATTGCGTGGGGCGGGTGTCCCCAAGCTCTGGGGTGACAGGGCACCGCAGCCACCGAGCAGTGGTGGATGGCCACCCTTGGCTTGCTCAGGTGAGAGGAGACTCGTGTCTGTTTGAATGGGACAGCAGAGAGGTGGGCGGCCATGGGAGAGGTGTCCTCCTGCAGCGTCAAGGGCGAGCGAGTCCCCGGGGCCACGTTGGCACCGGACCGGTCCCTGGGCCTCCACGGAGAAGCTAAGGCTGCTGGTAGGACGTGATGGCCCTGAAGGTTTTCCCTTCCCTCTCACGCAGCCTCCTGGGTTTCCTCGACATCGCGGTGGAAGTGAACATCACGTCCAGAGTCAGGCTCACCATGGGCGGCATGGGTTACCCCCGGCTGGTGATGGAGAGGTGCGACACCCTCCTCGGCGGCATCAAAGTCAGGCTCCTGCGCGGGTAAGT